TCCTCCTGGTCGCAGACCCACACTTTCACAGCGCATGGGCAGGTGCGAGGTGCGAGCCTCTCTCCCGAGACCTGGTGCCTCAGGTGACTGATGAAGATGGGGTTGGGGTGCCAGATGTTGCATTCGTAGATCCGAAGGGCGCGATCCAAGATCTTTAGATGGTGTGCTGTGCGCATGTGGACGAGCTCAAGGCCACAGCGGAGCCCCACTTATTGTTTGATTCGGGCTCTGCGAGATCGGCTAGAAGCTGGTGCTCCGCGCAAGCTCTGGTGGGTGGGCGCCCGAGCCATGATCAGTGATGCAGTGACCAAAGGAGGTCTGGCTCGTGAACCGATTCTTCGTTTGTGGACAACCGCCACGCTGGGGATTATAGGTGACGAGCCGCTCGCGCTGTGCTCTCGTTCTCATCATCGCGGTTCGCAATGAGCTTGGCTCTGTTTGGGAGCTGCTGCGAGAATGTTGCTGCCCGTGCTCTGTCTTTTGCAGCTTGCCTCTTCGAGGTCGGTTGCCGCGCTCCGGTCTGGGGCCCAGGATCTTTTGCGTCGTGGAGATTTCAGATGGGCTTGCCGCGTTCAATTGTTCAGCTAGTGGACTCGTGCGTTATCCTACGCCGAGTCAGAGTGCATGGCCCCCCGCGAATCACGGGGGGGTGGAATGCTCAGCGAGATCTGTAAATCATGTGTTTTAGGCAGGCAAGACGCGCCGACGGCGTCCTGGCTCAATCCGGTTAGTGAGAAGCCTCGCTCAAAGTGCGAGTCCTACCCGCGGCGGCCCCAGCCCCCCAGTTCCATCCCCTATGTCAGTGCGAACGAGTCAGTCACCACGACGACGCTCTATTTCATCAACCTCCTCTTCGTGCCCTTCCCCTCGCGCCTGATCTGCTCGCGGGCGTGCTGCAGCTCAGTTTCACCGGCGGACGCGCCGGCCTTTCCAGACATCCTCCGACGGACTGTGGAGGAGGAGTGCGAGGAAAACAACTGCGGCCCCAGGGTTGTGCCTTGTTTCTGCGCGCTTCACACCTTCTCACTTCTCCTCGCACCGCTTCAGTTCACTCTTCGCGCTCCAGACAGGTGCTCTTGGCCAGCCTGTAGCATTGCCAGTCTACTCCAAAAACCAGCCTATATGCACATTCCTCCCTTAGTAGCACCACGCCGCGCCACCTCGCACGCATGCAGCCAGCATAGTTGTTACCTAGGGTTAGTAGAGCGCACGGACTCTATATATTGCCAACACTTCGAGGAACACCGTATGTGCTGCCCTTCCTTCACAGCTGCCCACGGCGCGGGCCTAGCAGCGCACTGAGCTAATGCTAGACACTTTGGGGGCACCCGATGCAAATGCCCTCCACTGGCCGTCATTCAGGGGGCATTTGAGTCCCCGACAGGGATGTTTTTTTGGGGGTCTTTTCTATTTTCTTTTTTTTTCACGCGGCCGCATTCATGCATATTTGTTACAGACATGTAGTCATGTTGAGTATATTTTTGGCACACCACATGCGCCACTCCATCAACTCGACTTGGCTGCCTCTTTCTTCATGTCCATACCACTCAACGAACGCAGACTGTATCCTTTCCTGTCCCAGGCGTACACGCGAGGAATATGCCACGTAAGCGTACTGGCCGCACATAATGCGCTCGACAGAAACAGCTTGTACATACATCGACTTCGTGCGCCACATCTTGTTCGAAGGTGCTTCATTTTGATACAAGCTGCTTCTATAATTTTCTCCAGGCCCTGCGCATCTAATACCATACCACCTACACGTTTTTTTAGCATTCAGCGCGCGCAATTTCTGCCACAATGCAGCTTGTATCTTCAGGTTACTGTGCGGTGCCATTTTCACGCAGGACACGCCAGCATCACAGGCAAGCTTTGTAAACATGACGGGGGAGATTGATGGGTTTGTTTGGTGGAGGAAGACTCTCGTATCTGGCTAGCGTGACTATGCATGTTTCTCCCAGTTGACAATTCGCTGGCTACAGTGACTTGCCATTTCGGCACGTCGTACTGTGGATTACTGACCACACGCATTCCATTATTCTTGAGCAGTGCTAGCCGTTGCCTCGACCTCATTCGCTCCACCATTCGTTTGCGTTTACATCGCTTGCCACTGCTGTTATTTACTTACGACAGCACACTCGGTTCGCAGCAAGTACCTCCAAGGTAATGTTGGCTTTAACATGCTGGGTAGCCACATGGGATTTTGGAATATTGCAAGGGATACTAAGGTGCTAGAGCTGCTCTTCTTTACGGACTTGGTGGGCGCCCGCTGAATTGTCTATTCTTTTCCTTGGCTCGTTTTCCCACATGGCCCGCGGCGCCCTCCAGGTTTTTTTGCTAGAGTCGAGTCGCGTATTCATTTCTTTAAAATGCGCCGCAGTATACCCTAAGGTCGGTCTCGCGTAAACAAGGAGGAAATGGTCGTGGAGGAAGAGGAGGGTGGGGCGAGGAGGGGGGCAAGGGGGAGGAAAGGAAACATATTTGCAAGGGGAGTGCGGGAGGTAGACCCGCGAGGTATATTTTGAGAGAGTGTCGACGAGCGCAACTTGGATTGGTCTGGTGATGCGACTGGCATAGCAGGAAATGCACGGCGGAACCGGTTACATGGCCCTGTCCGGGAAAACAGTCTCGCGCGCTATGGCCTTGGCTTAACTCCCTCTTGGTGTCCTTCGGGGGCTGTGAGCAGGAGAAGGATGCGGGGGAGGGGAGGAGGATAATCAGAGGAAAGGATCAGGAACAGGAGCAGGAGCATGGACATGAGGAGGAGGAGGAGGGGAGGAGGAGGAACAGGAGGAGGAGGAGGAGAAGGCGGAGGAGGACGAGCTGGGAGACGACCAGGAGTATCCAGCAGCGCATGGAAGGAAAACGATAATGAGGATGAGGATGACGATGCGGATGAATCTGAGGAGGAGGAGGCGGAGGAGGAGGTGGATGATGATGATGATGATGAGGAGGAGGAGGAGGAGGAGGAGGAGGAGGAGGAGGAGGAGGAGGAGGAGGGGGAAGGGGAGGAGTAGGAAACGGAAGGGGAGAATGGGGGAGGCCTTCGCGGATCTATCGCTGTTCGAGACTTTCGGGCGCCTCTGAAGACCATCTTGGGCCCTTTTTGGGGCGACTGTGGCTGAGGCTATTTTGAACCAGCTGCTGCTATGTTCAAACCTCTTGGGTCATTGGGGGATTCTGGGGCCATCCTGGACCCCAACAGACCGTCTGACGGATCGCATCCCCCTCTCCCCTTCAGACCCCAGTGGGGAAGGGGTAAGCCTTTCCCCAAATTGGGAGAGAAGGGGGTTTGGAAGAGGGGAGAGAACATACGTCATGCCGCCTCCGCCCAGATGGCTAGTGGGACTGGTTTCTACAAAGGGTACCGGTGTTGAGGTTTTGTGAATTGCTCGCCCATGACAGTTATCTGGGAACATTTGGGAGAGAGGTGGTGGCATTATTCTGAGGTGCAAGTAGTTGGAGAAGGACGAATGTTTTTTTCGCAGTGCATGCAGACGATGCCCTTTTGGTTGCCGAAAACGAACCAAGCCCTGTCTACTGTGTTGAATTTAGTTGCGCAACAACTTCAACAATGGCTTGAGTCGGACTTTTGGGTACTGCGGCGTCCGGTGCGCATAGAAACTCGGAGTGGAGGACAGGAGGGGGAGGGGGAGGAGGAGGAGGAGGAGGAGGAGGAGGAGGAGGAGGAGGAGGAGGAGGAGGAGGAGGAGGAGGAGGAGGAGGAGGGAGGAGGAGGAGGAGGAGGAGGAGGAGGAGGGGGAGGAGGAGGAGGGGAGGAGGAGGAGGAGGGGAGGAGGAGGAGGAGGAGGAGGAGTTGGACGAGGGGGAGGAGGAGGAGGGGGAGGGAGGAGGAGGAGGGGAGGAGGAGGAGGAGGAGGAGGAGGAGGAGGAGGAGGAGGAGGAGGACAGGGACGAGGACGAGGACGAGGACGAGGACGAGGAGGAGGAGTTGAGCCGGGCACGCGTGCGAAGTCTGCAGGTGCAGAGCGTGCTCTGTGTGCAGGTAGTCGCAGAGGCGGGCTCCATCTCTTGGGCACGATGGCCACCATGGACTCCCCAGCACGAACGAAATGTGTACACCGCCGGTTTAATACATGCTCCGCGTGCGGACAATGTATTAACAATAAAGGTTTGATTTTTAGATGCAAGGATGAGTTTATGCATGGATTTATTCATACAGTTATTCATGTATTAAAATCCAATATGTTAAACAATCCCATGTATTAAGAACTGCCCTGTACGGAAAGAATGGGCACGATGCCCAACAGCAGTTCCTGTTCATTTTGAACCGGACTCGCTGTCCGCGCCGCCGCGGCCTGTGTCCATTTGAGACAGAAGGCCGCCTGCCCAACAGCAGCCGCTGTTGGTTTGGGACAACATTTATTGTTGGGCATTGTACCCATTTTTTCAGTGCCCATTTCGGGCGTCCACATGGACGGCAGCGCTCTCTGATCGGGTAGCTCTCGGATATGCATGCCGTGACGTTTATTGTTTACCATTGCCATATCTTACTCAAGCTGAGAAACGGACATACCGTATATCATGGTAGCGCGGAGCGAGGTTGCGAGTCGGCCTGCCTGCGATACCGCTGTGCATTCCTCCGTGGCGCCCCAGGGAGGCGCTGGCGCGGCTGGAGCAGCCGCGGACGAGACCTGCTGGCATCTGGTCTCGACGAAGCCCGACAAAGCTTGGGCGAACATCGTGCAAGGCGTGCTGAAGCTGGCTCGCCGCAGACGCAGGTGGCATTGCGAGGGCGAAGCTCTCAAGATAGTCAAGGCGCGCGGCCTGGCAGTCGCAGATGGACGAGGCTCGCGTCGCCCAGATCGAGCAGGCTCTCGCGGCGGCGCAGCAGCAGCAACAACAGCAGATGATCCAGCAGCTGGCTGCCCAGGCCCAGTCGGCCGAGGCCCGAGCGCAGGCAGCAGAGGCTACAGCTCAGGCGGCCCGAGGGCTCGGTCCGCAGCAGCCAGCCGAGCAGCCTGGTGGCCAGCAGCCAGCAGTGAATCGACTGATCGACACGAGGGTCCTGGGGAACCCGCACGACTTCAACGGTGAGCCTGGCACGTGGCGTGACTGGAGCACGATCTTCCGTGCCTATGCCAGCGCGTGCGAGCCAGCCCTGATGGACCTCATGGAGAACGCAGAACGCTCGGACGAGCCGGTGCTGAACGCCACGCTGCCAGATGAGCACGTGCGACTCAGCAGCCAGCTCTACTATATGCTAGTCATGTTGAACAAAGGCCTCTCGCTCGACCGCATAGTCAGTGCTGGAGTGAACGAGGGGCTGGAGGCTTGGAGGACACTTGTTGTGTTTCATGAGCCTCAGAGTCGGACCCGGGCAGCAGGATTGCTACAAGAGTTGCTCTCGTGGGATTTCGAAGGTGATGTCCCGTCGAAGCTGATTTCGTTCGACAGGAACGTAAAGCGCTACGAGCAAGCTGTCAGCACCGGGTTTCCCGACGAGATCAAGATAGGCATCCCGGTCCGATCGCTCAAGGAAGGCCCGCTACGGCACCACCTGCTGCTCAACAGTCAGCGCCTCGACACGTGGGAGCTGGCGAAGGCGGAGGTGGAGAACCTCAGGCAGGCCCAGATCGCGACGACGGCGAGTGCGGGCACAGGTGTAGCACCGATGGACCTCGACTCACTTGCGAAGCAGCTGGCAGCTCTCGGCTTCAAGGGTGGCAAGAATGGCAAGACCGGCGGCGGCAAGGGTAAGACCAGCACGCCCGGCAAGGGCAAGGGCGCTGATGATCTGCTGACCACGCCGTGTCCGATCTGTGGCAAGACAGGCCACTGGAAGCGTGACTGCTGGTGGAACTCGACGGCTGCGTCAGGCAAGGCACCGCCGAAGGGTGGTGGAGGTCGAGGTCGTGGCAAAGGCAAGGGTGGCGGCAAGGCTGGTGATGCACCGAAGCCGAAGCCGTGCTGGACCTGCGGTTCGACGGCGCATCTGGCCAAGGACCTGCCCGGTCGCAATGAGGGCTGGCGCCATGGGCGAGATGGCCGAGCCGGAGCCGCCCGAGGGCCTGGGCGGCCTCTTCCTGGCGGCGCTCGACCTATCGGCCGTGTCCTCGAGCAGCGAGACAGTGCGCTTCGGGGTCGACTCAGGCGCGGCGGTCACGGCGATCCCGCGCTCGCTGTGGACTGACTACCCGATCACGGAGAAGCCGTCGGGAGCGCAGTACCTCAGTGCGACGGGTGAGCCGATCCGAGACGAGGGTCAGCGCAAGCTCATGGTGCAGACTGGTGGTGCGTTGCGTGGCACTAGGGCCCGTGTCACGGGCGTCAGGCGACCGCTGCTCTCGGTCTTCGACCTGGTGAAGAGCGGCCATCGCGTGGTCTTCGAGCAGGGCCAGCACGGCAATGACATCAGCCGCGCCGTCCACATCGAGAGCGGCAAGACAGCCCGCTTCACGCGGGGGCAGCGTGCGTGGGACCTGGACGTGAACATCGTGCCAACAAAGGAGGTCGCCCAGATGTCCCAGACACTCGTGAAGGGGGTGCCGCTCTGCTCGGTCGAGGGTTGCAGTGGCTGCGACAGGCTATATAGCAAGAAGCGTTTGTGCCCGTTCGGGCGGCAGGCGCGGCCGTAAGACCGGCGATGATGGCGCCAGCAGTGGGGCCTCCTGCGCTGCATGGCGTCGCTTCTGTAACAGGAGTGGTACCTCATGGAGTTGATGATGGACAAGTTGCGACCATCGAGAGCCACTTTGGTCCTGTCGCAGGCGACCCTGTCCCGCCAGGTGGAGACGCCGTGGCAGGGGGCGACGGAGTTGGAAGTACAATCGAGCTCGAGGGTGGCGTCGAGGAGCGTCACGAGTCTCAGTCTGCTCCGGTGCGAGCGCGACGCGGGCCGAAGGAACCTGCTCAGGCAGACCTCGAGCAACGCGAAGCAGCAGGTCACGCACCCTTCAGGGACTGGTGGACAACATCAGCGGGGCCGCCTCGGACCCCGAGCTCGTGGCAGCTGGCCGCAAGGAGGAGATGGAGTTCCTGCGCGGCCTGGGCGCCTACGTGTACGACACCAAGCAGCACTGCCGCGAGGAGGCCGGGGGCGACCCGGTGCCCGTGATCTGGGTGGACGTCAACAAGGATGACGACCGCAAGCCCAACGTCCGCTGCAGGCTGTGCGTGGCAGAGACACGCTACCGCGCGAGCATGGATTTGGGGGGCCCCTCGCAGACGTTTAGCGCGACACCCCCGTATGAGGCACTCAGGATGTTGATTTCCTTTTGCTGCTCGCCCAGGAACGCCGAGGAGGACCAGCACGTCCTCATGTTCCTGGACATTACGAGGGCTCACCCGCACTGCGAGATGAAGCGGAAGTTGTGGGTGAAGCTGCCGTCGGAGGGATCCCGCTCAGCTGACCCCGACGTGCGCGGGCTGCTGGTCAGGTGTCTCTACGGCTGCCGCGGCGCAGGCCAGAACTTCGAGCTGCTGGTCCGTGAGACGCTGGAGGGCAAGATGGGTTTCTCCTGTGGCGTGTGGTGTCCCCGCATATACCGCAGAGGCGACAGCAAGCTCGTGGCCTACGTCTGCGGCGACAACTTCGTGCTGAAGGGCTCCCGCGCTGACAACTTGGAGTTCTACCGCGAGCTGCAGGAGTGCATGTGGGTCAAACTCGAGGGCATGTTGGGGCCCAACAAGAGTGCTGGTGATGTTCAGGAGGTGGTCTGTCTGAACCGCATGTTCCGTTGGACCTCGAGAGGTGACGTGGAGCTCGAGGCGGACTCTCGCCGCGCGCTCATCATGATGCAGCAGCTGAACCTCTGGCGCGAGTCGAAGGCTCTCCGCCAGGTGTGAAGTCCAAGAGCGTGGATCGTGGCAGGGTCCTGGAGGGCGAGGAGGCGACTCGCTACCGCAGCCTGGTTATGCGAGCCAGCTACCTCAGCGAGGACCGCCCGGACATCAAATACGCAGTGAAGGAAGCAGCGAAGTGCATGCGCGAGCCGTGCGAGCACGGCGTGGAGCTAGTCGCGAGGATCGCCAGGTATCTCCTGGGCCGTCCCAGGCTGTTCCAGAGGTTCCGCCGCCAGCGTGCTTCTCGGACAGTGACTTCGCGGGCTGCCTGGGAACCAGGAAAAGCACGAGCTGTGGAGTCTTCCAGCTGGGAGACCACATGATCAAGGTCTTCAGCCCGACTCACGGCAGCGAGGCTCTCAGCTCGGGTGAGGCCGAGTGGTGCGCTCTAGTGCGCGCCGCGTCTTGTGGGGTCGGTCTGGTCTCGCTGGCGCGCGACGTGGGGTGCGAGCTGGAGTTGTGTTTGGCTGGCGACGCTACGGCGGCCAGCGGGGTAGCTCACCGCCGAGGGGCGGGGCGCATCCGACACATCGAGACGAAGACTTTGTGGCTCCAGCGCCGCGTGGCCGAGCGTCGAGTCATCCTTTCCAAGACGCTCGGCAAGGTCAAAGTAGCAGATCTCGGCGCGAGGCATCTGGCGCAGAAGGAGCTAGATGAGATGCTGGGGCTGCTTGGATTTTTCGTGGCTGCGGGCAAGTCTGGCCTCTCTCTCGCGGTCGCAACCTGCTTGGGCATGAACTGGCTTGCGATCCCGAGGGCAAAGAGGAGGTGCAGGCATGATTTTCGTCGAAGGTCGCCCGGGTCCAGGCGACTGGTTTCATGTGCGCAGGCATGCTTTCGGTGAGGTGGCGTGTGGCGAGGCGAGCGGCTTATTTTTTACCCAGAGATCGCCTGGGTCGAGGCTCGAGGGGGCTCGACGCGGCGGCGAGGAGGGCTGATCGGGTAGCTCTCGGATATGCATGCCGTGACGTTTATTGTTTACCGTTACCGTGTATCACTCTCAGCAAATTTTGGTCAAAGGTGCGCGCGGGATGCTGGGCCAAGACGGTGATGCTAGGGGGCCGCCCGCGAACCCTGCCCCTGCCCCCCGCGATTGCTGGGGGGTGGGGTCCGCATGTGGCCCGCTAGTTGCCGCGTGCACGTTAGTCGAACACAAGTGGTGCGAGGCAACATTTTATGCGTTGCTTGAGGCTGAGCTGTAAAGCCCGCGCGGTGGTGCAGTGGGTCATACCGTAGACGGGCAAACGGCGATGTAGCTAACGGCGATGTAGGTTTTGGTATTGTAGGTGAGGCTGGCTCGCGTGCTGGCGGCATTGGCTTCGGGGGAACTGTGTCTCGCAGGTGCGACCTGCATGAAAATCAGCCTTGTTTGCATGTATTATTGGATTTTCCACGAACTCAGAATATCGCGCCGTAGACGGTTAAACGGCGACGCGGACAACGGCGACGCAGGAACAACGATTGAAGGAAAGCGTTGTTGGTGGCCGAGCCTTTTGTAGGAAAGCGTGGTTCGTGCATTCCTGCATTTCGCGGTGTCGTTTTCGCTCGATACATTCGCAAGTTTGAAATGTAGGAAACGGTGGTTCGTGATTTCCTACATTTCGTTTGCGTGGGCTCTGCGTCGCAACGACGTCCGAGTTCAAACGAGCGCGCGCGCGATAGTTGCACGTGCGGCGCGCGCACGGCTTTGACGCCTGTAAGCGTTCGGGAACACTTGAACAAGGATGTTGAAGCTTGTTTTCGTCAAGATGGAAAGTATGTGCGCCATGGCACCGAATCATCGAGTTTACACTGCGAGCGGGGGTCTTGAACATCGTATTCTCAACCTCGCCGTTAAGCAACATCGCCGTTTGCCCGGGTCTCGTCATGGGCGGTATCATTTGGTAGAACTGCGGTCCATGATTGTGCCGAAACATTAGCTTGTCGGCGAGTGGATGCCGTGCAACGGGCCAGTTACCAACATGGGAAATTACGACGCAAGCACACACAAACACCATCATTGCTCGGAACACCGTGTGCTTGAAATGTCCTCCCCCTCTTTCCCCACTGTCTCACGACTCGCGTTCGTGCTCCTCGGCTTCCGTTTCCATGCCGACGTTTTTGTTCCCGTCCTGAGGTTTTCTTTCTTCGTTTTGAAGAGAGCGCCCCGCGTCTCCTCCTTCGTCCTCCTCCTCCTCCTCCTCTTCTTCATCTTCCCCTTCCTCTTCTTGCTCCTCCTCCTCCTCTTTCTCCTCCTCCTCTTCCCCTCCCTCTTCCTCTGCTTGCCCCTGTTCCCCGCATGTCAGACAGTTCGGCGCACCCCTCACCCGCTTCATGGCCCCAGAGGGAGCTCCACCGGAGTCCCCAGTGGCAGCGTTCCCACGCGACCGCCCCACCCAGGACAGCTTTTCGTGGCCACGTAGCGAACTCCACCGAAGGACCCAATGGCGACGTTCGCATGCGTCCGCCCCGCCCAGAACAGCGTTTCGTGGTCTCATAGGGAGCTCCACCGAAGGCTCCAATTGCGACGTTCGCACGCGCCCGCCCCGCTCAGTACAGCGTCTCTTGGCCCCACAGGGAGTTTTACCGAAGGCCCCTGTGGCGAGGCTCGTATGCGTCCGCCCCGCCCAGTACAGCGTTTCGTGGCCCATAGGGAGCTCCACCGAAGGCCTCAGTGACGACGTTCGCATGCGTTCGCCCTACCCAGTACCACGTTTTGTGGCCCCATAGGGAACTCCACCGAAGGCCCCAATTGCGTCGTTCGCATGCGCCCGCTTTGCCCAGTACAGCGTTTCTTGGCCCCACATGGGGGTCTTACCGACGGCCCCAGCGGCGACGGTCTCATGCGTTCGCCCCGCTCAGTGCAGCGTTTCGTGGCACGACAGGGAGTTTCACCGAAGTCTCCAGTGGCGACGTTCGCGTGCGCCCGCCCCGCCCAGTACACCGTTTCGTGGCCCGATAGGGAGCTCCACCGAAGGCCCCCTGTGGCGAGGTTCGTATGCGTCCGCCGCGCCCACGACAACGACTCACGCCGACAGGGTCGGCGGATTTTGATATTGCCCACGAGGCTCCACGAAGCTTCCAGGAGGCGCCCAAAGCTTCAAGATGCGCCGCCAGAGGCACCAGACAACCTAAATGGTCAGATATCGTGTCGCTATTTCATAGGTGTTTGGCTTCTGCGGACTTCGGCTCAGCATCTCCCTCCAAGACGTTGAGAACCCCCCCCAAACACCACCCCAACAGCACAAGAGGGTGTCTGGAGGGTCTATGACGGCTTAGAGCCTTAAGACGGCACAAGACGGCGCCAATGCGGCTTAAGTGAGTGCCCAACGGGCCCCAACCGTCCCCAGACCGTTCAAGAGGGCCCAATTTCCTGGCCCACATGCGGGCCAGGAAGACGCCAATGGAGCACCATAATAGCTTAAGAGGGGCCCATGACAGGGCACACAGCTCACATGCTGCTCAACAGGGCCCAAAAGGCTGCGAAACGCACACGGGAGGCCCGTGAGAGGTCCCACACGGCGCCAATAAATGCCTGACCGGCAGAAAACGATCAGACGTAGCAGCAAGCAAGAATCAGCAAGCAGAAACGATCAGCAGTATGTAGCAGCGAGCAGCACCAAACAGCAGCATGCTGCCGCAAACGAAGCATCAGCAGCAGGAGCGTCAGCCTCAACAGGCAGCAGCGCCTCCCGCTGTGCCTCGAACAGATTTTGTTGGTGAGGGATCCGCGGGTTTGGGAGCGGAGAGTTTGCCTGTGCGACTAGATGCTCAGATTACGGGTCGGGGGTGGCAACATCGCTTGGGGATTTGGACGGCTCTCGGGATACATGGACGTACGTCACTCGAGGTAGATCTTACAATGTCCAGGGGTGCAACATGGTGCGTTCGACCTGGCTGGGGCCACACATGTCCCAATCAGTTATAGACAGTTATAGGCGCGAAGTTCTGATTTTTTTTTCCGAGGTCCGACGGGGTTTAAGTTTGCCCAGAAACTGTTTTGCTGTTGACCTGCTCAGAAGTTCCAAAGGTGGTCGTTACATCTTTGAGTCGTTACGGGACCAGCCCAGCCACCCCCGCAGCCTATTTTCCCCGCGACAGGGCCACAGTAGATCTTGGATATCACATCGCTGTACGTATTTCAATTCACCTGCGTATATTCCCCAATGAGAGCTTGCCTCTGTAGGGGTCCTAGCGGATTCATATGGTTAGGTTAGGTTTGTCGCCGATTTCGGTTCCCGGAGGTGCCCGGGGGTGCCTAGGTGCCCTGTAGCCTTATAGCCCTATAGCCCTATAGCATTATAGTCTTGTAGCTTTATAGCCCTATAGCCCTATAGCCCTACAGCCCTATCACCCTGATAGCCCTATAGCCCTCTAGCCCCACAGCCCTATAGCCCTATAGCCCTGTGGTCCTACAGCCTTAATAGACTTATAGCCTTGTAGCCCTATAGCCCTCTTGCCCTATAGCCCTATAGCCCTATAGCCCTATAGCCCTAATAGCCCTATATCCCTATAGCCCTCTTGCCCTCTTGCCCTATAGCCCTATAGCCCTATAGCCCTATAGCCCTTATAGCCCTACATCCCTATAGCCCTATAGCACTATAGCCCTATAGTCCTATAGCCCTATGGCACTATAGCGTTATATCCTTATAGCCTTATAGTCCTATAGCCCCATAGCCCTAGGGCCTATAGCCCTATAGCCCTAGAGCCCTATATCCCTGTAGCCCTATAGCCCTACAGCCCCAGAGTCTTATAGTCCTATAGCCCTATAGCCCTATAGCCCTATAGCCGTATAGCCTTATAGATCTAAACAGTTTTTTTTCCGGTATCATGCCAATGCGTCGCACCAGGGCAACCATCTAGTCGTGCCACGACCGTTCACATGATCGAGCGGTACCCGAGAGTCCCCCCTCGGGTGATAAGGTTTCTTTTGGGGGGTGGGGGGTGGGCTGTGGGGGGTGGGGGTGGGGTGGGGTCAAGTTAGCCAGCTCGAACGAGCCAGAGGGCTCCGTCCACTCCCACCCGCCCTCCCGCAACATAAGAAGCAAGTGCGTCGCTTCCGACGACTTTCGCTCATCTTATATCTTGGGCGGTTAGACGTTCAGCGCCCGACATGAGCTGCGTCCTATTCCTGCCGCGTATTGAGCAACGTCGACGAGAAACAAGACCGCGCGCGATGTACGCCGCGCCCAGCTCCTCAACCCGACGGGCCGCATTGTCGACGACAAGAAAGTCAATGTTGACGAGCAGGCGTCTCCGCGCGATGTGCGCCGCGCCCCATTCCCGCTACGCGATTCGCAGCGCCGACGAGGTACATGTTGGCAAGAAAAACGTCGACGTTGCGGTGTTTTTTGACAGGTAGGACGGGGGGTCCCGCGTAGGGTTGGCCAGGCGTCTGCGCGCGATGTGCGCCGGGTCCCATTCCTGCTACATTTGTCGCAGCGTCGGCGACAAGAAAGTCCAGGTTGACGAGAAAATCGTTGACTTTGTATGGTCTTTTGATGGGTAGGACGCGACCCCCCACTTAGGGTTACCCGAGCGATGTTCATTCCGTCCCATTCCTGTTGCACTTTTCGCAACTCGACGACATGTTGGCGACAGAAAAATTGAATTTGTGTTGTTTTTGGACAGGTGGGACTGCGGGGTTGCCATCGGCCGGCTAGGTGGGGATGTGGGGGTGTTTAATCGTAAGAAGTCAGGATGCGGGGCTGACGTCACATTCTATTTGCATTGGACACAACGCAAGTCACGAGTGGACAATCGCCGGGGCATCAAGACTTTCCTTTTCTACTTGTCTTTCT